CAGATTCTGATTTGACTGTTACAAGACGGGAGCGATCGCGTCTGGTATAGAAAGGGACTCTGCCTACCTGTTTTTGGAGACATTGTTGAAAGAGAAGAATGTTGCCTGAGTAAGGAGCTGTAGAAGGGATCACGAAAAATCGGTCCCATTTAGCTGGGCTAAATAGAGTATTGAAGATATTGATAGGGTTGGTGGTGGTGGACGGTCGGGGACGTGTGGAAGAGGAGTATTACAGAGGCATGGAGAATAAGGCTGTAAGGAAGTAATAAGGGAGGATGGGGGTAGAGTTGATGAATTTGAGGAAGTTGGGAGGGTAGGCTTCTGGAGATTGAGTTCGCTCTGGATTGTGGAAGAGGAGTATTACAGAGGCATGGAGAATAAGGCTGTAAGGAAGTAATAAGGGAGGATGGGGGTAGAGTTGATGAATTTGAGGAAGTTGGGAGGGTAGGAATGTCTTCTGGAGATTGAGTCTCGGCTTGGGTGGACAATGCACTGGTAGCCATTGAGGAGTGGGTAGTAGTTTCAGTGTTCGGAATCATGATCAAAGGAGAGCCTGGGGTTGGGAAGCCAGTGGAGTCTAGATTGGTGGGGCTATTTGATGACGGGGCAAGCCTCATAATGCCCCTAATAAGGGTATTACATCATCATTACTGGCCATGGGAAGCCATCCCCCAGTGCTCCTTAAGGGGTATGGGCTAGACAACTAAATCAGGGGAATACCATGCCCATGGTTCCCGCAGTTCGTTCAGAACTGGCACAAGGTTAGCCTTTCATCCTTTCAGCATGGCTCTTACACCTTAGGAAGTAGATAGTAGAAGGGGTTGGAGAAGGGATGGAAACAGAAAGTTGGAGGGAGAAAAAACCATGCAAAATTAGTTGAGTAGAGGAAGAGGAGATCCCTCAATTGGGTCTCAGTCTCCGTCTCCTAAGCCCCTCTCACAACAACAACAGGCAAGAGATTGGGGGGGTTAAGACTGGAAAAGGAATTTGGCAGGTGGAGAGGGGGAGTAGAGGTTGGATGGTTCAGGGCAGAAGGAAGAGACACTAGGGGAGATGCTTAGACATCTTGAGAGGACGGGAGCTTATAGGCAGGGCTGCTCCTATAAAATGTAGCATGAGAGATAAATGGCATATATATGAGACTGAGCAGAGTAACTTGACAGTCATGCCCAAGTTGGGCACATAGAGGGCAGCAGGTTGTGGAGTGAGTGTTTGGCTGGGTGGCCAAAACACCAACATTTCTGATACTGATGAGGAAGGGGTCGATATGGTCGGTCAAGGCAGGATACTCCACCAATATAAACTTCATGGGGCAGGTCATGTCTATGGAACCTAATTTTGGTAATATTGGTATGGGACATAAACTGGCCTCTGGGAGGAATAGTGTAATACTGTACTGTTACTGCATCATAATCAACAAGGCAGGCAAGTACGTCACTTTCACAGAGTGACCAGTTCTTGTCGTAGATAGGACAGTCAGTCAGAGAGACAGAAACAGTTCTAGTTCAAGTATTAAGAGAGGGGTGAGGTTCAGCAGAAATAGGTTTCCCAGTGAGGTCAGTCAAAGTAGATAGTGCACAAGCTTAGGACTCAGATGTAACTGTGACAAGGCACAAACAATCAGAACAATTGTGAAAGGAAACTTTGCCTACTTGTTTTTTTATACATTCTTGGGTGAGAAGGGTATTGTTAGAATTAGGGGCTGTAGAAGGAATTACAAAGAATTGATCCCACTTGGTTGGACCAAAGAGAATACTCAAAATGTTTGTAGAAGCGGAGGCAGTAGAAGGACAAGGGCAGGAGGAAGATGGTGTGTTGTGAAGTAGTACAAGGGGGGGGGGGGGCTAATAAGGATGAAGAGTAGTAATAAAGGGGGAGGAGCTAGACAATGAAGAAGACAGTAGGAGATGGAGTGGAGAATGTTAGGAGAGAGGAAGGGATGCATTCTGTAGATTGAGTAATGACTTGGTTGGGTGGTCTGGAATGGATAGAGTTGTTAGTAAATATCAAGGGGTATTAGTATCAGTGGTGGGAGCCATGGTCAAAGGAGAGGCAGGGGTCAGGAAACCAATGAAATCTAACTTAGATAAGGGGGCAAGCCTTAATGCCCCAAATAAAGATAAAGAATCTTCATTACTGGCCATGATAAACCTGATATAAATGGGGAAAAGAAACGGTCTTCCCCTCAGGGTCCCTATAAGGGGTATGGGCAAGGTGATCAACCAAAGGAATACCATGCCCATGGCTCCCAGAGGCCGTTCATGACTGATACAAAGTCAGAACTTCATTCTTTCAAGCATGGCTCTCACACCTTAGGAAATGGACAGAAGAAGGGGATAAAGAAGAGAACGAAAAGGAAAGGGGGAGAAGAAAAAGACCATTCATATTTAGTTGAGGCAAGGGCTGAGGCCCAAGGTAGGGGTGATCTCCTACGTAGGGGTAAAGGTGATCTCCTACCTTTAAATTAATTCCTTTCCTTGTTAATATGGCTACATACCCTTCGTTTCCATTTACCCTACCTAGTCTATCAGTCTTAATGTTACATCATCTATGAAGAGGTCTAGTTTGGATTTAGTGATGCATATTACATTTGGCATATCAATTTCAATTAGTGTATTTAGTTCTAGTACTTCAAAGATAAACCATCTATATTCGTATAGATTATTTCTACATAATCTTTCAGTATATTCTTAATTGCAAGGTCTCTACATTATTGTTCTGATAGTATAATTGTTTTGCTTAAAGACCTCTCACCCTTGAAATGAACAAGTTTTTTTTTTTTTTTTTTTTTTTTTTTTTTTTACTTCAGTCCTTTGTCTATTTTGTTTTTTAACCTCTTCCTATTTTTTCTGCAGCATATCTCTGTCATCTTTGGTCATGTCTTTTTATCATAATTTTCTTATAGTCTTCATTGGTGGCCAGGACTTTAGCTTTCCTTATTACATCAGTTACTTTTGCTACTTCATGAATGTTACTTTTAACGTGAGTGATTGAATGAGTGAGTGATTGTGAGTGTGTGCATGTATGCGTGAGTGTGAGTGTTAGTGTGAGTGTGTGGCATCGCCACTATCACATCGGCACCGGTGCTACCTCCCTCCGCATAATTACCACACTCAACATCGGCACAGCCTCCCTTGGCGTAATTACCCCTATAATGAGTCAGCAGACAAGCAAGCATGCTGAGGTCCGCGGCACTGATTCGCCACAACGTGAGAGATAAGGATGCAGCCATCAGCCAATCAGTACACTCAGCCGCAAAACAACCCAGCATTGTTACTTTGCCCATTTTGCATTTATACCGCATTTTCCGCCGAAAAATACACACTTCACAGTCTTCTCTGCAACTTGGGTTTAATTCTCCTGTCTGCTCAGGGCCTAGGGCTCTCTCAATTACCTCGCACCAGGCCTCTCCACATTGGTGACCCCAAAAACGACATGAACTCCGATGCAGCTACCCTTTTCACTGAAGTGAATGCCGTCTCCATCCGCCTTCCACTCTTCTCACCAAATGGAGCCCTCACATGGTTTTAGCGAGCCGAAACCCAGTTCAGGCTCAAGAATATAGTTAAGGTGACCACCAAAGCAGACCACGTCGTGGCCGTTTTACCCGAGGTTTCCCAATGGATAGCCCATGGTTAGACAGCCAGACGACATCAAATACGATACGCTGAAGCAGGAGCTGTTGAAGGAGTTTTCTCTTTCTCCATCTGAGAGGGCACAACAGATCCTCAACATCCCCAACACACCGCTTGGAGACCGGACTCCTAAACAAGTCTGGCAGGAAATCACCACCATATGCCACCTCCAAAGACACAGAAGGAAAGTTCCACGAATTGGGCCTTATAAATGAAATTTGGCTCCGCTCTCTCCCTGGCAACATCAGGGAGAAACTCCATGACTCGAACAAGATGGCCATCGAAATCCTCCTCACCAGAGCCAACTCACTGATGGAAGCTCATCGGCAAGCCCGCCCTCAGTCAGCAGCCCCCGTTTTCCTGTCGGCCGGTACCGACAACAATGCGGCCACAATCCTAATCAACGTAGCAACTGCCCAAGGGCCCAACAACAACAGAAGGCCCTTCATCCGATTCCTTGCCGCTGACGGTATCTGCTCGTACCACAAGCGGTTCAGCAATGCGGCCTACCATTGTCTCAACGGATATAGGTGGAAACCAAAAAGACATCCAAAACAACATGGAAGGTGGCCACCAAGCAACACAGCAACAGCACCGACCAACGCAGACGACCACCCTCAACACCCAGCTCTACCTCACCACAGACGCCTGCAGAGTTGCGGTAGGAGCCACCCTGGAGTAAAAAACTCATGGCAGACGACAGTCCCTGGCATCCAACAGAGAGCTCCTGGCAGTACACCTGGCCATTACCAACCTTTACTGGATAAAAGTCACCCTCTGCAACACCAGCATGACCAACCCCTTGTCGTGCCCAGAGAATTCTTCCCCAACAACGGCCCGAGCGACACTCAGCTAGAGGACTTCCGCCAGGGAACCCGGCAATTTGCTGCCAGCAGACCTACCCGTCGCTCTCATCACCCAACCTACACCCCACCAGGACGGCCAAGTTTGTCTTTTCACCATGGTGACACCATCTACACAAGATCCGGACGCCATTCTCGCCTATGCAAGATCCTCGCTCAGAAGTCCTTTCTTCCTCGATAGGGGGGAGGCACTGTGGTGGTTGCCACAATCACATTGGCACCGGCGCTACCTCGCTTCACATAATTACCGCACTCAACATCGGCACAGCCTCGCTCGGCGTAATTACCTCTACAATGAGTCAGCCGACAGGCAAGCATGCCGAGGTCCGCAGCACTGATGCAGCTGTCGGCCAATCAGCACACTCATTTTACATTTAAACCGTGTGTGTGTGTGTGTGTGTGTGTGTGTGTGTGTGTGTGTGTGTGTGTGTGTGTGTGTTCGTGATCGTGTTCATATTTGTGTTCGTGTTCTTGTGCATGTACATGTGTGTGCACGCACGTGCATGCATGTGTGCGTGTGTGAGTATGTGTGCGAGCGTGTCTGTGTGTAAACATATTTGAACAAGTATACATGCATGTGTTTTTTTTTCAGTCTATGTCTGTGTTTAATTTGATAAATACTTTACATCTTTTAATTTCATTATAATATTTAGTGTGTCAGTACTTCCTTAGGCCACAGCATTTTTTTTCTTGAATAGCAGACCCCCCAACATTTATTTATAGAATTTTTTTCTTTCTTTCTTTTTAATAAAAATCCCAAATTTTTTTTATTTTTTCATTTCTCACCGAAATTGTGACGTCCACGAAAGAAATAGCAAGAAAATAAATACAAATCAATTTGTCTATGATTCACTGTGTATGGCATCATTTCTCCCATCCCCAAACACAAAAATAAAATATACTTGGCAGAAATGCCTTCCTCTCATGTGACATGTTATGTCTATTATCTATCGTATCCATGGTCAGTGGTCGATTCTGATCAGTACTGGCATATTTTGTAATATGCGCAGAGAACCTGCACGATCTTTGGAAAGTAGGAGGTACACTTGTCTTATTTTGGTAAAGAGGATTTTTTTTTTTTTTTTTTTTTTTTTCCTCCTACTTACATTTCATTATCACCAGACTTGCTTGCTATTCAAGAAAAAAAAATTGCTGTGGCCTTACAGATATAAAAAAAATACCTTACAACATATAAGCAATTATTACCAATTTAATTTCACTAAGGATAAGATCCGTTTTATTACAGATGTCATATAAATATGTATATAATATCTAATCATTAAAGAACTATCTAGAGCACACCCACATTGCATATATTTTAAGAGAAAAACTAACTGAATTATTGTTAAGAGCTAAAAGTCAAATAAACACATTTTTTCTTACAAGATTTGTTTTGATGATAAAATAAAACAGTAAATAACAAAATAAAAGCTGAACTTACCAATAACTAACAAAGTATTTTCCTTTGCCTCAAAATCTTTGATGGGCATAGACATGGTAGAACTAGCAGCTGTTGACAGCAGATTCCAGTTTGATTTACGAAGGAAACCAAAAAATTTTGAAGCATCCTCCACTTCATAAACAGTCAGCAATTCTGCCACTCCAGCACTCGCCTTACTAACATTCCCAGTAATCTGACAACTGAAAAGAAAGAAAATTGTCTAAGAAAATGTATGCTGGCAACCAGATATTTCACTTAGATTGCAAGCTAAAACTTTTCCCTAAATATTGAATACAAACAGAACCTACCTGTGTTCATTAGATGTTATTATTCTATCAACCCCAAAGTAGTAAGCTGATCTTAAGATAGCTCCAAAGTTCATGGGATCCTGAATTTGGTCAAGATAAAGCCATAAAAGTGATGTTCTTTTTCTTTCCCCTAATTCAAAACCCTCAACAGTTCTATTTATCATACTGGAGGCCTGGATCTCTTCTTCTTCAAGCTTCTCTATCAAAAGACGACTAGCTTTGCAATAAATGCCTTGATGTACTTTATCACTCTTTAGGTATTTTCCAAATTGTGATGGTTCTAATCCAATAATTTCAACATTTCTTTGGTGGCACAGGTCTAGAATTTCATTAATTTTACTGTTATTTGCTTCTATACCTTTTCTGTAATATAGTTTGTAAATCTTTCGGCGTTGGGTGCATACAGCAAGGTAAACTGGGTGTATTCCATATATAATGTCATCTTTAAATATCTTATTTTGACCTTTTTTTCTTTCTTTATGGTGTAAATGCTTTTTAGACCAGTCTCCTCCTTTCCTACTTCTAAACTTTACTTTATCTGTTTGATTTTTAATCATCTTGCTACTGCATGGCTCATGTTTAGGGCTTCCTTCTGATCTCCCATAACTGCTATGCCAGCTGATCTCAGGCACTTCATTTCTTATGTAATCTTGTAGTTTGTCTGTTCCACTAACTGGAGAAAGAATTCTAGGTTTTTCTTCAATCTTAACTTCATGAAACCCATACCGGAAATTATGTGGAAACAGTGGCAAGGATTTGTTACTTGCTCTTCGAACAATACCTCGGAGCACACTATCTGAAATGAAAATTAATTAGCAAAATTAATTTAAAGCAAAATTTGACACTACCAATTCAACAATAATTTAGTCAGCACTTTCTTGTAATTATTGAATCAAAAGATCTATTTTCCATCGTACTGTACCAATACCAGTCTTCACACTAAAATTTCAGGTAAAAATTATCTAATGAACAATAATCATTGTGACAAATGTAGAAAAGTTATGAAAGAGAATGAATATCTTCACAATACAAGAGATGTATTTAACTGGTTTTGAATGTATTTTCATAAAAAATAAATGTGTAACTAAGCCTGCTTTAAGTTGTGTACACTAAATAATTGTGTGTATATATATGTATCTATGTGATGATGGTGATGATGATTACTGTTATCATGATCATTATCACAATCATTATCATTACCATGATCATAATTTCATCATTATCTTTATTTCTATTTCTATATTATTACAATCATTATAAAATATAAAACATAAACACAAGTATTAAATGGTTAATGGTTAATGGCTGAAACAAATAAATGTGCTAGACATCAAAGGTCATACAGCATTATGGTACAGTATTGTGACGAAAAGGGTAAAAAGGAGTTGCATGTCAAAGGTTACAGAGCATTATAAGATGGAATGGTAGTAAAACTGGTTAAGAAGGGGAGCAAATGAAGTAAAGTAAAGAAGCCGTTCATGACTGACACAAAGTCAGCCTTTCATCATTTCAGCATGGCTCTCACACCTTAGAAAAAGGTTAGAAGAAGGGGATGAGGAAGAGATGGAAAAAGAATGGGGGAAAAGAAAAGACCTTGCAAAATTAGTTGAGGCAAGAGCTGAGGCCAGAGGTAGGGGTGATTCCCTACACACCTACACTATATCTATCCTAACCCCCCACCCCCCACAAGAACAAAGAGCAAGGGATTGGAGGGAACACATGTATCAAGTGTCAGCTGATTAGAATAAAAAAGTGATGGTGAATCAGAGTAGTGTACCCCAGAGCCTCCATTGAGTTGTTATTTTTTCTTTCCTGAGAATGGATGCACTACAAGCACTTCTGGAGCCATCTGTTGGTATCTCTAAAGGAAAGTTAATATTGTATTATCTAATCTAGATCTCTAGTACATATGTACAATGGCAGCAACCAGGATAAAATTTAAATACACCTCTAACCATCATTCTCCTTTAGGCTCATACCTTAATCCAGCACAAACACAGACTAGGCTACTCAAACCATCCTAATTATGTACTGATAATAACATCCTCTACTCTTAGAGAATACTGAGCAAGCTGCCAATAACATTTAATCTTCTTAGTAACAAAAGAAGTTCTGACATTTCCATGCTTAAGATCAAAAATTAGTTGTGGGATATTCAAATTACAGATATAACTCTCAAAGGAAATTCCCACAGAGAATTTCAGGGTTTACAGACAGGCAAGGCAATGTTATTTCCAGGTTGAAAAAACATTCTATTTTGTGTAATATATTAATGTAAACTTAATAATAATAATAACAATAACATCACTATTGTGTCCCAAATTCAAAGGTTGGACTTCTGATTATTTTAAACTTTAAACTAAACAAGGATATTACTTCATAATATCATAAAGGGGGTGTAAAAAATGTTGCTCTGTCAATCAATTACAAGTTCCAAATTTTCCCTATTTATGAGCTATTTATCTTTTTAAAAATAAAAACAAACAAACTTTATAAAGTTGCTAAGTATCTAGTTTTGTTTTGACATTTTCCTTTTCTTACATGAATTTTTTGAGTTTTATCCAATAAAGTAGTGTTTTTTTTTTATTGAAGGGTTGAGACAACTCCCATCCCATCCCACCCCACCCCAAAAGTTATGACCCTAATACTACATCCTCATTGGCAATATCCTGAAGAAGGTACCCAACCCGTGCCCAGCATCAGACATAAGAAAGAGTTCAAAGGGGAAACTCTACAGCAAATATAAACTAATTTTTATTTTTTTTTGCCATTTTCAGTTAAATAGCCTATAAAATTCAAAGGCTATTTGAAGCCATTGATACCTTATACTTTTACAGACAAAGATAAAATTTTCAAGATAATTATAATACTACAGTACATGTATATACATTTTCCTATTTTCTGCAGCAAATGTCTCCCTTACCAATAAATTAGTGTGTAATATGAAAATGATAGCGGGTGACTCCTAATTATCATTACACAAATCACACAGACTCACATATCTGACAATATACTGTGGATATGGATTAAACTTTAATAAAATATCAACTTATATGATATAAACAAAAGATGCTTTATGTGAAAACAAAATTCATATAACAAAACCATCGGCAACAAATCATATATACATATGGGTTAAGCACATTACTGTGTGGATATCAAGAACACTATCGATGCAGAAGAGATAACATGAATATGCAAAAAATGATCGGCAGAAACTAATGGTTAGATCGCAATCACTTGCTGATATATACAAAACCAACTAAGTCAAAAGATGGCAAAGCCTCCACACTTCATAATCCATCCCTTTGTGACAGATATGGTTAAGGGATCCTAACTTGCAAAAACATGAGATGACATAGTAGTGCAGTAGTTTTTTTAACAATTTCAATAATTCTCCATATTGTTTCTTTTTTGAATGTGATCATGTACTAAATAGCAACTCCTGTAATACACACAATAAAGCAAATAAATTAATAAAAACAATTTCACACCTAACAGTCCCGATATCAAAAAAAAAATTACAACTGAAAGCTTAGTAATACTCTATATATTCAGGAGAATCTACATGGCACTACAAGGGGTTGTTTACAATACACGAGTATAAAAATTTGCCGTAAGATGGTGTACATAAAAGAAAATATACTTTTATAAAATATAACTTTACCTTAGTCTAGGTAATATAAGGTATATCATAGACATATATGAAGTATACTTATAGTAATAAACATCTTTAATTACTCTAACACCCCCTCTTAATTAAAGATGGATATGTTATCTGAGAATCTATCCCCTGATATAATTAAAAGCTTGCAACTTATTCTGGCTTACAGGCTTTGTAAAAATATCAACTGGATTCTGTTGTGTAGGAACATAAAATAAGTTTGCATTACCCTTCTCTACTTCATCTCTAATGAGATGGTAACGAATATCAATGCGTTCTGATCTTTGGTGATTAACTGGGATTTTGGCACGATTAATAGCACTTTGGTTGTCAACTCCTAAGTCTACAGACTTTAACTTTAATCCTAATAGATCAGACACAATTTGTCTTCAGGAACTTTGCTTCCTGAATGGCATAGGTAATAGCCATGTACTCTGCTTCACAAGATGAAAGTGCTACTGTCTGTTGTTTCTTACTTTTCCATGATATAAGTGGTCCATCTTTATTTAACTGAAAACAATATCCTGATATGCTTTTTCTGTCTTCAGATGATCCCCAGTCTGAATCACAAAATCCTTTAAGATGAACTGATTCATTTGACTTTTTGAATGTAAGACCATACATCATTGTACCTTTCAAATATTTGAGCACATGCTTAGCAGCACTTAACTGAGCTTTAGTAGGCTTGGACATATACTGTGAAAGTTTAGTAACCACATAGCACAAATCTGGTTTAGTACCTGTCATAATATATATGAGACTACCAACTATTTCTCTGTAAAGAGTAGCATTAGCCAATTCATCAGATTCTGCTGTTGAGGTGTTAACAATACTTGGATCACATGGTATATTTCTTGCATAACAATCTGACATGTTAAGCCTATCCAAAATCTTCTCTACATATTTAGTTTGGTTCACCTCAATGTTACCTTTACCAGAAACAAATGACATTCCAAGATACCAGTTTAGTTTACCTAAATCAGTCATTCAGAAATTTTGACAGAGAGATTGTTTACATTTGTTTATCAGGGACATGTTACTGGCAATAATTGAATCATCTACCCATAAGAGCACGATAATATCACTACAAATAACATGCTTTACAATATAGACAATGATCACTCTGTGATTGTTTGAATCCTTCTGAAATTAAGAAATTATGGATTACACTATTCCACATTCTACCACTTTGTTTCAGAACATAAAGTGACTTTTTCAGCTTGCAATACAACACACTTCCTGCACTATCTTTTTCTTTATAACCTTCAGGTTGTTCCACATATATTTCATGATCAATATCAGCATGTAAGTTAAGCTGTTTTAACATCCATTTGATGAATTACCATGTCCTTCTGTACTGCCACATCTAATAAAGCACGGAGTGTAGACATTCTTGCTGTTGGTGCAAAAGTTTCTCTGTAGTCGATGTCCTTCACCTGTGAATATCCTTTAGCGACATATCTTGCTTTAAATTTTTCTTTGCCGTTTGGTCCAGGCTTTACTTGATAAACCCATCTTCCACCTACTGCTGTACGTGACTCAGGCAGTGTAGTAAGTTCATAGGTATCGTTGTCTTGAAGTGAAGATATTTCCTCGTCCATTGCTTTCTTCCACTGAGGTCCCTCTGGAGATGTTATAGCTTTCTTGGTAGGTGACTGGTACTGGTGTGTGTGACACTCGGTAGTAATGATAAATGAAGCTTTTGTGTGTCACGCTGGAGATGCTGTCGTCTAGTTCATCAGTAACGTAGTCATCTAGATGTGAGGGTTTCCGTCTTTCTCGAGCTGGATATCTTCTTTCTTCACTTATGTTCCCTGGTGGCTTATCTTGGTTTGCTGGAAGTGGTTTTTGCTGAAGTAATCATAGGCTACAAATATCCCTTCCTTACTCCTGGGATCAAGTTTCAGTTTTCTCCTCTTCATAGCAAAACATCTTTCTCCAAAAACATTCATTTTGCTGATGTTTGGCTGCTTTCTAGTGAGCATTTCTACTGGAGTTTTCTGAGTTCTGGGGTTATAGCACCTATTCCTGATGTAGCAAGCAGTTTTCACAGCATAGCTCCACATATCTTTGGGTAATTTGGCATCAATCAGTAAACATCGAGCCATATCAAAAATGAATTTGTGTG